TCGCGAGTAACTCAAAAACTACGCATTTTATTTAAAAAAGTGTAATGAACAAAAATGTAGCTTATAAATAAATAAAAATCGTTTTTTAAAAAGTGTTGTACGTCCTATACAAATCGAAATATGGTTAGTGGAAGGGGACTTGTTTTGGGGGAATACTCGAATCGATGTATTCAACGTCAAATAACGGAAAAAGGATTAATTTTACGTGTATAACGCTCCGGGAGTTTTTTGTAGTACTCAAAAAGACCTTCAAAATGAGCAAAAGTTAATTAGAGCAAAATTGAAGGAGTTATCGTCAAAAACAGATGGGTTGCTCATATTTTTGAAGGAAAAATGAGCAGTAAACGCTGTACCATTTCCTTCAGAATTAAAATTAATCGTATACCCTTTACAATTAGTTTTAGTGTTTTTCATATGATCCTGAACTTAGACCGGTTTAGAATGAGTATTTTTTTAATAATATACGGTAAAAGTTGAAAACGTCTTTTACATTATTCAAAAAAAATTGCCTTATTTATTTAATAACTCTGAAACTATGCGTAAAAATGATACAAACAAAAATGTAACTTTTTTTCAACTAATATTTTACTTGTTTTTTATTCCTATAGCATAAAAAATAAAGAAGATATCTTGAAGTATCCATTTTATTGAAAAAACGTCCTGTCTCGAGCCCTCCGATTCTTTCCCTTTAAAAAACGAAGGACTTAATATTTAATCTTTGTGCTTGAACAAGATTTTTATCAATAAAATGCTTAAAACTTAATTTTTTCAATTTTTTTCACCTAGGGGTAGTTTGTACCCCTAAAAAACAAAAAGCGTCAATCGGTCTTATGTCACTTTTGAACTTGAGCCTAAGATGAGCCTTATTCTAAATTTTCATGCAAATCCATGCAGTTTCACAGAATTCGGAGGTTACAGCTGATTTTCAGCTTCAATGATTGTACTATTATTAAAAATTAAAAAATATATCTATTTCTCTGAAAGGAAAGTTTTTAGAGTAGATTGAAAAAAAAATATAAAATTCATTCATTTTTCTGCTTGTTATGATTTTTTTAAATTTCTGAAATCATCCCTTAACTTCTAGCCACTTTAACTCTGTTAATTTTAATAGTACAAGAAAAAAAGTCAATGGACCATTTTTATGTAGAATTTTATGCTCTACAACTTTTATAAGAAATTATGGAAGAGTAATTTCAAGAACATATAGAGAATCTGCTGTTTTTTTCCATAAATAACAAACAAATTCAAATAATCCTCATAAGTATATTTTAAACGATCTCCAGGCATTTTTTAAATTTTTTTACAGTCTGATTTCAAATCGATATAATTTTTATTATCTGCTGACTGACCAGCATTTCGAAATAATCCCTACAGCATTACTGAATAGCGACTGCTTTTACATACTAGGTATATAGAATTACGTTTTATTTTCTTAATTACATGTTTATTGTTTATCAAATACTATACATTCAATTCAACTTACTCTTTTTCTATTACTTTTAATTTAATTGAACTGAATTTCCAATTATTTGCACATTTATTTGATAAAGGATTCAGCCCAAGTGTAACAATTTTGGTGCCTATTTTGTATATTTATAATATCTCTTCCAAAACTTTAATAACGCAAAACCAAGAAATGAATGATGTTTATTTTACATCACCTCAAGATTTAAAACTTGGCTCCTTTTCAACTTAAATACATCCTTAAACAAAAATGTATTTTCAAGAAACTAACTTCCGATTGGGGTCCCTTCGTCTCAGGGGTCTAGTTATTTACTTTCAGTGATACAAATTTCAGGCAATAAAGTCAAGCAACACGTGGAACAAATATTAATTTATATGTGTGTACCCAAACTGGAACTAACACTGCAGATATTTAAATAAATTAACACCTCGGGATATATCCGAATTATCTCGTCTCTGGTGACATTCATTATAGTCCCCATGAGTGCGTAAACACGACATCTCCTGTAAATTTCGGTCCCCTTTAATGGCGACATAATTTAAACCCAATTACGGAAGATTTTTAAGTGGTCTCGGTGATCCCTATAAACCAATTTCATGTAACAATAATTTTTGACAAGTACCTGTAGAACAAATGTCAGATGACAATTGAAACAAAAATGCTCTTCATATTAAAATTCTTAAACACTTTAAGTGCAATCCGCACCAGTTTCTTTACGTGCCCATGCATTTTTCAAAAATGTGTTCCTAAAGTGGGGAAGTTTCCATTTTATGCAGATAATAGAATAAACTCACTAAAACCTGCATTGTTTTCATTACAAATTTTAAACCGTTTCCGGAAATTGACCGGGTATTTTGAATGAGAATTTTAAACGTAATTTGAGTGTAAATCTAATTTTTCTGACTAGACTAAGCTGGGTGAGATCTATGCAAATACGAAAATTCATAAAACTTTTAAAACTATTTCAATCTCGGCGCGCAGAATTGCCAAGTCTTGTAGCAGTTGGAAGAGTTGTGTATTCCCTCAGCAACTCGGCGGAAAATAGGAAAGTGTTTTTATTTATGCACTGCCCAGTTTCACGGTGCATATTAATGCAGAATTAAAAGTTTTGGGACATGAAAGCATGCAGCGACTCAAAAGATAAATGCAATAAAATAAAAAATAACTTAAAATTATCGAAAAAGTGTACGAAATGCATTCCCTTTAAATCTAAAGATGAAAATGCGAAATTTTGTTCCTAGAAAAGATAACGAATATGACAAATTTATGATTTTCGGAACATTTTTTGACATTTTCTAATTGACAGCAAGAATAAAAAAGTACTAACAATGCATTTCGTGTTCAATTGAATATGAATAAAAAAACTGCATAGTCCTACACGATATACTTTTTTCGTAAGTGAACCTATTTCTCTCGCAGCAAACGCAGCTCTTGTAAAAAATATACAATTTTGCATTTGTTGAATAAAACTTTGACCAACTCGTAACAAAGATATGGAGCATATTTGTGGAATTAATACATGGCAGAGACAATGGTAGCTGTACGAGAATATGAAATGAAAAAGTCGATATTTAATTAACTAGAAAAATAGCTCCGCGCTTCAACAATGTTATTTTTATAATGTTTGGCAGCAGCTATTTCCTTTGACGATAAACGTTTTAATCAAACTACCAATGCTTTTAATTAATATTTGGCCAACAAATAGTTGCAACGAACTTAATTTAAGTTGCGAAAAACTGGAAAGCCGAACATAATACTATTCCTCTTCACGCGTTTTCGGTATGGTGTATTACTTTTGATATAACTTGTCAATATTTCAATAAACAAGGATATATTTTATCACTAGACTGATGGAGTATATAGGTGACAGATGCTGTAATCTATACACAGAGAACACTTGATGATATCAAAATGGATTTGTTGTTTTAAAAACAAATTTTACACTTACATGTATTTTGAATAACTTACAAGGTGTTCTCAAAAGAACAAAACATAGACTTGATTTTTTCTCAGAAATGTTTCCTATTCAGGTATATTAAATAGTACAAATATGGATAGCCGCATAACTTTTGTTATTAACATTTTCTTCTATCACTTTTTAAGGATTCCCTCATCAAAGGCCCATAATGATATACCTCGTTGGAAAGGTCTTTTCATGCTTTATCTCGTGGTGAATGCACAAAAAATTGATGAATATAGTCTAACTTTGAAATTTCTAACGAAAGTGTTGTTTATTTATTGGCTCTATTTTTTCCCCAAAGTCCAAAGCCCAAAATTTTCCCTAATATCGTACCTCGCCGACTTTAGTAGGACACCCTGTATATAATAATGTTAATAAAAAAATGATAGTCAACAAATAGAGTGATTATGAATTACAATTCGTTTCCTGTGTAAGTGATAATTGCGATAACGAATGTTAAATAATGTACATGAATAAAATAAAATTCGAGTAATACCTGTACTTAATGGCTATTCTTGTTGTCACTGCATTTATAGTAATAAATACTGCAAATAATATTGTGTAGTTTATTATGTTGAAAATACCATTGTTAGGACAGTGGGCAATATTATATGTAGAATTCCCTTGTTATATATTTAACATATTTGGTCAATAACGAACAGATTCGGTTCTCGCATATTATGGTCAATTAACAGTGCAATCTTTTATGAAGTTAATTTAATAAAATATGAGTAAAATAATTGCCTAAAACACAAATGTGTATTTCAACAGTTTCATATTTGTTTTTATGGAAATTTCATTCGAAATGCTATTATTTATATTAGGAACATTGTTTTTAGTGCTGTTTAATTTCGAGGTAAAATTTAATTTTCGTTCTAACAAGTATATTAAATTAAACTGTTACATTTTTATTTGTTTTATTAAATTTAAATATATAACATTGTATATATCCCTAAATCTCTAAACCAGCTGAAGAGCGGAAAAGTAGTAATGTAGTTCAAAATTGGGGTGTTTTTGGAATGTGTGCAATTAAAAGTTGCGTTTGTATACAAGGTGATTCAGTCATTAATGTCATTATTTTAAGGGAAGATAGAGTTTAATGAGTAGATTACGAATACGCTATTAAAAAATTTTATAATCCATATTTGTACTGTCAAAAAATATTGTTATTATGTACCTCAAACTAACTTATATAAAAAATTCAGACTAGTTGACCAAAATTGCGACTTAAAGGCCCATTTAATTGCACTATAAAGCGTTTACCAATTAATTCTTTTTATCAATCTACCTCCTATTAAAAATAAATCTTCAGGTCCGTAAACACCCTGTATATTACAATTTTCGTAGTAAATTGAATTGGTAGATTGCGCCCCAGTGAAAATATCGATCTCATATAAATAACCGTAACAGTTGAAGGGATTCCTTAAATCGAAACGCATTTTTACCCGTCTCGTCCTTTGTCAGGCCGTAACCGCCCACGTTACAAGAAGCCATAAACACCCCGAAGAATTATTTCTATTGCTCCTGTTAAAAATTCAATTTTTAGGTACCACGTCTCACGCATTACTCTTTCAGGTGGGCCTTCTCGATGTCTCCGTGCCCCCGGATTTCATACCGGAAGATACCTCCGGTGACGTAATGGTTCCCGAAGGAGGCACCGTAAAGCTGACGTGCCGCGCTAGGGGCCACCCCGAGCCCCACGTGCAATGGAGGCGGGAGGACGGCAGCGATATCGTCATAAAGGAACCTTCTGGACACAGAACGGGAGGTGAGGCCGTTGTTTAATGTTATTGGTATGTTTGTGGTTTCCCAGATTTTTCTGTCACGTTATTTTTACTAACGCTTGAGTCTTCGATTCAGTTTTGAATTTTAAACTACCCTACACTGAAAAAAGTAAATAAATGCGTATTATATTGACAATTAAAACATATCGTAGAAATATTTCCTTGTGTTCTGTATACAGGGTAGTCAAAAGTATGGAGACCCCTAAAAAGTCTCAGCATTTTTCACGGTGCATCCGATGGTAACCTTGACCTTGAGCTCAAGGACAAGGTTAAAGGTCATAGCAATATCAAGTTGTTGTTTTTAATGGCGTCCCTCCTTCTCGATCCCGTAAATTAAAAAAAAACAGAAAACTCGTATTCCCACATGGGCTCAAGGTCAATAGGCAAGGTCAGTTCAAGGTCAAATGTTGAATTTTTCTGTATTTTTTTATTTTTAACTACGGAATCAAAGAAAGTGACAATCTTTGAGTAGATACCTGGTGGTACTCCTTAGTGACCTTGATCTTGAGGAAACCAAAAAATTGTGCGTCCCTTCTATTCCATCGTCGAAAATAAAATCTGACAGCTGGAATAATCAATCACTCGACCTCTACCTGACCTTGACTATTGACCTTAAGGTCACGTTTAAGATCATAATAACATGTAGAATTGACGCTCTCTTATTTCTAGCGGCGAAATAAGGGGTCGCTACTCCAAAAACCGATGTGACCTTGACATGTCCTTTCGACCTTCAAGTCCAAGGATGCAGAATTTTCTGGGTTTCCACTTCCGGGGTCGAAAAGGGGGGGTCGCCGTTTAAAAGAACCTATTTGATCTATATGACCTTGAACCTTGACAGTGAGCTCAAGGTCAAGGTTGCCATCGGGTGCACCGTGAAAAGTGCTGAGAGTTTTGTCCTCACCATTTATTCCAAAAATGATTTCCCGCTGAGATTTTTGGGGGTTTCCATACTTTTGACTAGACCTGTATAAAATACTTTTAAATACAATGCATAATAGTTCGATTCTATCTATATCCGTGAACTAGTTTAAAACTACTCCACACTGTAAAAAGTGCTTAAATTTGCATTAAATTGACAATGGACCAATGGACAAATTACAGACTTTTTACAAAATTGGATACATTTGAAGAATAATAAATCTGAGTGCGAAACATCAATTAGTAGAGTAGAGAAAATATTAAAAATAAAATTAATTAACAATTAACGTTATAAAAAAGCTATCTTGGGAACAAAGAGACGTTGGCGATTTCTTTTTCTTTAATTACCGTAAATATAAGTTTTATATAATGCAAAAAGAGCGAATTCTCGAGCGGTCTTTGCCTGACCTTGGGACAATTTATTTATGGCACTACTTTGCGGCTCATATTTTGTTAGATGTAAAGAGCAACTTAATTTCAACTTTTTGGAATTAAAACAACCTATATTTACGATATCAACTTCTAAAATTACCTTTAGTAAATAATCAATTAGTAGCAAAATAAGGAACGAAATTAATTAACAAATACCTGGAGCAACAATTTCACATGTCATTGGATTGCCGTCTTTTGTTTTAGGAGAAAATGTAATATTTGTTTTTTATTGTTGCATATACTTATTTATATGTATCTTTTTATTTATTTGCACAATAAGTTACTTCCCCAAAATTGTCCTACATCGTAATTGCATGATATACACAACATTCACACCATGTTTTATGAGAGAATTTAGTATTTATTTGTTTAAAAAAGGTAAACAATTTTGCATGCGACATTGAGGAATGGTAACGATCTGCATCTAGGTTATATTATGTAAAATAAACAGTCAACCGAATAAATACGAACGACCGACTAAAGAATAATTATATATTTACATTTACACTCGCAATTAGTCCCCACTCGCATATGTATTCGTATTAGAGTTAACGTCAATCATGCATATATAATAACGAGCGATTAAACTCAAACGTATAATAGAAAACACAAAGCATCAGTATATTGTTTATTTTTTATCTACTTTACATTTGTAGGGATTTTGATGAGCAATATTCAAAACGATTATAAAATGCAAGTCACTAACTAGTTTTTGAAGCAATTTGTATTTCATTTAATTAAAAAAACAGAAACAGAATTTATTCTCTTTTAGTATTTAGCATTATATATTAAAAATGTTACCAGTTAAACACTGGCCATTTAAAGATAACATTATAATATGTTCTTTGCGATGAAATAGGTCCGTAGAAATTTATGACATTTTTCTTACTATGATATTTTAAGCTCGTCCCAGATCATTGATATAAAATAAATATAAGATGTTTTCCTAATCGACCTTACCATTTCAAAAAGCTTCTACATTGTGTGTTATTTCTTTTATTTTGACTGTTGTTTCAAGTAAAAATTTCCTTCTAAAGAAATGTCAGTCCATTACACCAATTCCTTCTGGACTCATAAGACGTTTAGGGACCTTAATGATATTTGCCAAAGGAGTTTTTATAACCTTATTTTATCGTACATGTTCGAATCAAATGACCTTTTTCTGGTGAGATATTGGTGCTTATTTGAGAACAATATACTCGCATAAAATATAAGCATTATCATTCATTTAAATAGTATATTTTAGAAATTGGTATAATGTATTGAAGGGTTCTAATTTTATAATTCCATTCCAACACTAGTCATACTGATTTAATGACAATTGACGAACAGCATAGAAATTTCTTCAATCAGTTTTTGTTCCAGTAAAACTGCAATTTGCCATGCCAGAAATGGTTTAGGGGAATTTCAATTCAAATTACAAATGCATGTATCAGAACGTTACAAGTTCCAAATCGAGAAATAATTGACGACACAATGAATCTATTTCCAATTTGCAAAGCAACTCTGTAATTTAAAAAACTATTTCCTTATTATTTTATTCACACTGTTCTTTAACGGTATACATTTTATAATCAATCTAAATGTCGAAAGAAGTATTTTATTTTACGTACTTTACGATTCAAGAGATATCAAAGCGGGCAAAACTATGATTTATACTTGAAAACTTATATTAAGTTGGCATGTATCACTTTTGCAAATCTACAAAGATAGATCTCATAAAATGTAATAAAGGTATTTCATAACATTCACATCATACTTACATTTTTCTTTAAATATGTCATTTATATTTATTTTTTTAAAACAGGATGCTATTCTTGAATGAACAACTACGTTGAGAACATTAGTTTTCATCTGCGCAAAATAATTTATCTCCATCGCGTTTTTTAAATTTTTGTTGCACATTAAATATAAAAATATTCGACTTCGTTTAGTAAAACAAATGTGTAGTTGCACATGAATATTAATTGTTAATAATAATGAAATTAAATAGATGACCTGCTGCCTAATTTTTTTGTCCAAAATTACTAGTAGGTATTTAATTAAATTATATATTACGTGCCTACCACATTAAACTAAATTAAGGAAGCGAATAATTAACAATATATAATTTACTTTTTGTACCTATATAAGAGCATTATTTAGTTAATAATACAGAGACGTAAAATTTGAGTAAAACTGTATGGAAATTATTTCTAGTCCAAAAATTATGTTAATACGGTCATCAACAAACAGTTGATAAAAGCCAACTGCTTAAAAGAGCTTTTAAGTTAGAACGATTATGTATCTGTCTTTCAATTGCTAGAAAAATAGTTCTAAGTAATTTACCCAAATCTTTTGAAAAAAAAAACGCATATTAAAAAAATGTAACGCTACTACTTATAAATATAAAACTGGCTTTAGGTGTGATGAAAGTGTCATCGTTAAGCAGCGTTCAAGGGAAGAACCCTTAACATACTCGTAATAAATTTCAAAATAACGGCTCGAGTACATTAAATTTTCCCCCGCAGAAACAGCGACTGTTCCACTGATTATTTTGAAAATAATAGGCGGCTCCCGATTGCGGCGGGACACATTTGTTCTCATATGAACCGATAGACGTGTTATTGCCAGCAGCCAGGCGCTCGGGGAATACTGAGGCATCCTTCTTGAATCTTACAATACCTATTATTGTACGGCTACGCCAGCCAACCCTAAGTATATTGCTTCGGGAGATCAATGGACGTCGCCCATAGTCCTGGCAGTTATCGAGCGTGAAGGTGGTTTCCAAAGGGACTGCCACTTCCTGGGGAACTCAGATGGTCATCGAGATACAAATACACATGTGACATGTATTGACGTTTGGCCCGTTGCTTCGTCTTGTTTGAATACCGAAGCAACCATCTTGTACAGGGGGGCCAATTTCGATACATTTGAGAGGTCTCTCCTACGAGTAGTTGTCAAATTTTATAACTATTGGAAGAAGAATTAATAATACTTTAACTTAAGAAAACATAATTTCAAATTTAATTCCTGAAGGCATTATTTGTATTCCAAATGAATTTGAAATTATTTTTAATACGTATGATTATTTGGACCAAGTGAATCTTTGGGTACTTTAATTATATATTTTTCAAATTAATAATATATAATCAATACATTTTATTTTATTTATTTACTAAATCTTTTACAATAATAATTGTTTATATTTTTATTATTCTGTAGGACAAGTCTGCCGCGTGCAAACATGGTGTGCATCAGCTGTGTAACATTAGGTTAAGCGCTGTTGTCACGTTGTGATGAAACTCCCCAATATTAAATACTCTCTGTATTTTGAAAACCGTTAATCTTACGCCCCTGTAATATTCAACTTTTTTGTTCACTTATGATTATTCTATCTCATGCTGAAGTAATGGCAGTCAAACCTCTTACATCCTGTATAATAACGCTATCTAGCGGATATTATTCCGTCTAACACACAACAATGATACCGATGGGTTATGGGGAGAGCTAAGATACCATTTTGCAATAACGTATTTACCAAATGAAAAATATACTAGAGAGGAAATCGTTAGCGTGATAAATAAGCAACTATAAGGAGAAAAGGTAGGAGAATGGCTGCAAATGTATCATCGCTGATTCTGGTTAAAGGAAC